CCCCAAAACCCCAAAACCCCAAAACCCCGTCAATTCAAAATTATGAAATCAATTAGGATAAACATATTTATAAACTAAAATCAATGAAATAAACAATACTTTCTAAATAAGGCCAAGAAATGAACATTAGTATTGTCTAAACCTCTATAACCAGACCTTAAATGGCAGGTTTGAATAAAACATTAAGTGGAGGAGTTGGATAGAGCAAAGTGCAAAAGAATGTCTTTTACGATCATTTGAATCAGTCGATAATGGCTGCTGATCAGGATGAAACAAAAGAAAAAGCTGTGGAATTCAGTAATAATAAAATAAACTAGTCTCAGATGAGAAGTACATATCGAATCAAAAGGCAAAAGCGACTGAACAGCTCAAATCCAGCTACTAAAAATCGTGGAAGTATAATAACATCTGCAAAGATGAGCTAGCTTAGTTCAGTCATGATGAATGAGATGCAGTCAACAAGGCCAAATACAGGACATATGCAGTCTAGGCACCCAAGTCAGTCATATCGATATCATAAGCACATGAATTCAAGTGCCAATTCAAATTAGTTTCATTATCAATAGTAAGACACAGTTTTGTATCAAAATTAAGCCAGGCATTCCGGTCAGTTCTAGTAGATTTATAGAAGTTCTATTGATGCCTATAATCAAGCATCAAGTCCTAGTATGAAAGCAGGTAACATCTACTCGAGTGGTATCATTTAAAAAGAACAGTTGGAAGATTCGCAGAAAATTGATATTAAATCAGACATTCAAAAACTTAAGGATCTCAAGTATTCTCAAAGCAAGGGTGATTTTACAATTGCATTTGAAAGTCAAAAACTTAAAAGCCAAAGAAAGCATTTGTAGAGTGCTAAGTACAGCATTAAAAATCATTCATCACTCCACTCTCAGAAGTAGAAGCATTAGTAATAGAAATAGCACTAACCCACCGATGTTTAAAGCTAATTTTCCAAGTAAGAGACTAATTTCACAGAAAACTAATCCTAGTAACACTATGAAAAGATCATTCAAATGAAAGTGCTAGAAATTGAGAGCAATATAATGGAGAGAGCTCAGAAGTAGTTTGAGCAAATTAATGAAAAGAAGAAAGTTAACTCCTTGAATATCGCTTAGGAGGTCAACTACTTAACATATAAAGTGAGAGTTTAAAATGGAGGCCCATTAATGGGATAGCTAAGCAGCCAAAAGTATCCTTTAGAATAGGACGTTAGAAAGGTTAAGAATCTTGATATGACACCTTCTGCTGCTACTGATTTGGAAAACAAGATTATCTTTGACCATTTCACTGTGAATCAAAAGTTTAAGCCTAACTCAAATCAAGTAAACAGAATAAGACAATAGTGATTAATGAAGAGCAGAAGATATGGATCTCAATATGATTCCATCAACATTGAATAGACTGACACATTTAATTTAAATCAACATATGCCTTCACTAAATGCTTAAATAGATCCAGATACTAAATTCACTACTAAGCTAAAAGCTTCACTTAGTCCTAAGAAATCCACTAATAACAAGTAGAGCTTACTGCTTTAATAGCTTAGAGAAATCAAAGAAAAATTCGCTAAGCAGGACTCATCTAGCGTTAAACAAATGTCTATAGAGCAGGAATTTCTTAAGAAATCGATTAGCAGGCCTTAGGATTAATCAGTGAATACTTCATTTATTAAGAATATGATTAAGAAGCCAGCAAAGAGATTTTCAGTAGAGGATAGACTAAGAATGCAATTAGAGTAAAATAAGGATGATAAGTTTATGAGAATTCCTGCTACTTCTAACAGAATGAGAATGGTTTTTAATGAGATCAAGGTTCCGCCATAGGATTTAAATCGGTAAGGCTTTAAAAAAATTGGACTTAATGATATGCATTTCGATCCGCTTAGACTAAAAGTGCTAGTAATACCATTTAAAGATGCTAATCCAATAGGCAAAAATGCCGATTACTTCTTTTTAAAAGGCTTTAAGTATTAAACTAATGAAGAATATGCGAATGCCTTACATTCGTATCAAAAGGGTCTTGAAATAAAGCACAATCATTTGCTGTGTAGATTCAATCTTGGAGTAATTCTATTTAGACTTGGCCTTTTCGAAGAAGCATATCTTTAATATGAGAAACTTATAAGTCTAGGCTATCATGAAAGGACAGTAGTGCTCTATAATAAGATATTATGCGCTGTCTAGATTGGAAGATTCAATGAGGCAGTAGAAATAGCCACTAAGTGCATAGATATATTGATAAAGAGAAAGCGAGGGATTGAAAGTGACAAAGAAATGATAGGCGATTTGCATCAGATAATCGGTATATGTCATCTTAGATTAAAGAACATAAAATTAGCAGGAAAGTCCTTCGCTGAATCTAGAAACTACAAGACTGTGAGGTAAAAAGAGCTGAGTATTGTCTTTAAAAGTAAGATTAAGTGATACATAATTTCCTTTAGAGTCGTTGAGTAAATAAATTTAGGATAGACTTATGGAATATCTTAGAAACAAAACTGTGTCCTATAGAGATTCAATTTAAACTGGAAACTCAATTAGAATGGGCGAGAAACTGATAGAGGACAACTCAATCCAAGTGGTTGAATTGAAATTGAAAAAAAAGTAAAAGAGCAGAGATCAATCATCGCCACTCAGAGACCCATCTAGAACTAGGAATAAAATTTAGCATAATGACAATGAAAATAATAATTAAGAGGGAGGAATAATTGGTGTAGACTAATCATAATTGCTCAGAACTTATCTCACTGAAGCTGAGAGGAAAAGTGCTCTAGATAGAATGTATAACGTCGAGGATACTGATTAAAATCCTCTTGGTAAGCGAAGAAAGTCTCTTCCTCAGCCAGATATATTTGTGCTTGACGTTTATGAGGAATAGAATGTCTCTCGAATGTCTGATTCAGACTCTGGGAGCTCAGATACTGCTCTTAATCAAGTAAAAGCAGTCGAATAGAAAGCAATTGAAGTTATTTAATAGAAACCGAAAGAAGTGGATAAGATGAATATCTAAGAGCTTATGAATGAGGTTCAGAATCTTGTAGACCTAAGATCAGATCCTGAACGAGGTTACTTCTATATAAATGACGAAAAAGAAGTAAGACTCGAGAAGATTTTCGACATTCCAAGTCTATTTAAGAAGCCAAAGCCAAATGATTACACCCAGCAAGAGATGGAGATAAAGAACCACCGAGAAAACTTAGAAAACTACCTCAATCCTTAGAAAAATTTTGATAACTCACTTATGGACACGGCCTAGCTGGTAAATGAAGAAGAGGCGAAGTATAACTTTTATCTAGAGAATATTTTCAAGTTGTAAGAGCGAGACCCGAATAAGGAAAAAGACTAGAGCGAGACAGATGAGAAAACCTATCAGATTATACTGCAGCAGATATCTAGTTTCAGCGAGAAAATAGACAAATCATTTGGGGTTGGAGAAGACCCTAAAAAACAAGAGGATTAGTAGTAAGAATAGGAGTAAGTGCAAAATTTGAATGTAAATCATGACATGAATAATAATATGAAGCGACTTAATGATGCTGAGTCTAATATCAACCAACTCAAAAGCATATTTTCTAAGCAAAAGGAGAACAAAGATCTCAAAAAAGAATATGATAAGTTAACTGTTTAAGAACTAGAACAATTTTGTGAAGAGTTTTAAAAGTAGGATAAGGATATGGACTTACTAGAGTCAATATTAAACAAGCTTAACGGCTTTAAGTACATGAGTCTAGAAATGAAGAGCCTCATTCTTAGGAGAGCATAGTTGAAGCAGTATGATCCTAATAAGATTTTGTACAGACAAGGTACAAGAGGATCAGTTTACTATTTCCTGCTGAGAGGCTCAATTACACTGCTCTCCAAGAGAAGGGAATTCGGGAACTTTGAGTTGTTCATTAAAAGTTAATATGACGGTGAACTATTCGGTGAATAGCCAGTACTACTGCCAACATCAGCTACAGCAACAGCAAGTGAAGGAGGAGACTCTACTGAAGGTATGCAGGTGTCTGAAGAGTAAGCAGAAAAGCTGTTAATAAGAGATTGCACTTGCATCAGCAACGATTTTACTATTGTTCTAGAGATACCTAACCAGGTTAAACTAGATCTCTACAGTTTAGCAGACAACAGTAAGGAGTATATCAAGAACTTGAACTGCCTTAGAAAGTTACCTATATTCAAGTATACTGAGACATTTTACCTACTTTAAATGGTATTTAGTCTAGAGAAGAGGACTTATAAATATGGCGAATACTTGAGCCGATCAGGAGAAATACCTGAAGGCATGCACATAATCACTAAAGGTCAATGCCTATGTGTATTTGAATCTATTGGCTTAAAGAAAGGCGAGCTTGGAGGAGAGTTTTCTAGGTTTTAAAAGTAGCCTAAGAATTTTTAATGTGGAACGATCCTCGAAACTCACAACATGAAGGCTAAAGATAAGAACTCTAACGAAGAAAACAAGATGTCTCAAGTCATCAAGCCTAAGAGCGAGAATCTTAGTATATTCAACCCACAATACTCAGTTTTTAATCAGCTTATCGGAGATAATAATAGAAATTTTCAGAGCAGTAGAATTTACCTTGATGATGAAGGTAGACATATGCCTAAGCATACAGCTTATCAAGATAATGTAAGTGTTAATCACTATTTAAATATCAATAGGTGATATTCAGTAGATTAGTGCCAGGCGACACCTTTGGCATGAGGACACTTTTGCCAAATGAAGAGATAGTAAAACGAATTTAGATTGACCCAGAAGATAAGAAAAGAGGTCAGATCATGAGTGTTTTCAGCAGAAGATCGACAATCAGGAAAATGCTTAACAACTTTAAGAAAAATGAAGGGCCTTAATTTAATTAAGTTTACATGAACTTATTCAGAAAGCTAATTAAAAATTAAAAGACTAGCTCTCTGTCTGTTGTAAGATTTACTCATAATGTTTATATACTTTTCAGTTTGCTGATTCAAATGAAGTGGAGGTGCTTATTTTTAAGCCAAATGTACTGAATTACATGCCTGAAGACCAAAAGGATTCACTTTTTGAAGATATATCCAAAAATATAGATGCTGATAACCCCTCTTCTCTCAGCAATATCCTGCGCTAAAAAAGTGAATCCTAAGGATGGGATAAGCTTAAAGAGGATCTTGTTTAGAATATGCGAAAAAGCTAATTCATGGAAAGACATAAAGGTGTCTATAAGAGATGAAATCAATCAACATTAATAGATTGATTCATAATACAAAAGAAATGAACTAATATATCTAATTTTGATTTCATAATTCCTTTACATAAAATACTTTAAAATGCAGAGCTATGGGGTTTTGGGGTTTTGGGGTTTTGGGG